CGGCTCGGCAGGGTACTGCTCACCTTTTCTTCTGATTATGTTTCTAGATTTTTAACATTTCCAGCATGTTTACCCAGACGGAGGCAGATTATTTGGAGGTGGGTGGGGCAGGGGATACACACGGCTCTTGTGATACTGATCTGACCATGTCCCCACGGGGGAGGACCCAGGAGTCCTGGTGGTGTGAGGATTGGAGGGGAGCAGTCTTGACGCTTTGGGGCTGTTATTGGCAATTAGAAAGGTCCAGAGGCCCTGGGGACGGCCCGAGCAGCAGCCAATGGGGGCTGACCCGAGGGCCCCGCAGAGCAGTAGTGCCCCGGTGGCCCCCCCAGCTCAGATTTAGTCAGGGGTATTTAGAGTAAAGGTCATGGAGAGGTCACGGGTTGGGAATTTTTGTTTATTTCCCGTGACCTGTCCGTGACGTTTATTAAAAATACCCATAACTAAATTGAAGCCTTAGTTATTACCGCTGGGCGCCGGCTCTGCTGGGGGTCCGGTGGAGAAGAGATTTCTGTGTCCCGGTCGACTCTCCTAGTGATCTGAAATGCGCCTGTGGACTCAGATTGCCGGGAGGGTCAGGGAGCCTCATGGCAGCGCATGGTTGGTTTGGTGACCCAGAGCTGGGGCAGGTGGAGCAAGGGGTTACCAAGATAGAGCCCCCCCCCCAAATCAGCATTTCTCACAACTGACCGATTCTAGCAGGGCTTTTTGATGGGCGGCAGCACGTGCCTAGCCAGTCTGTTGTGTTCAACCAAGACAGGACCAACAGAGTTAAGGGAAACACCCACCCAACCGTACCTCAGCCCTCTGGGACCGATGGCCCAGTACGCCCTTGGCACCCAGCCCAGCACTCTGCCTTTGCCCTGTATGGGCCAGGAGCCACCTGCACCTGCCCTGCGCCCACACACTGAGCCTGGATGGGCAGGAGCCAGCCCTGGGCAACCCACATCGCTCTGCGTTAGCGAAGTGTTTGTGATGGGAAAAATGTTCCATTGGAATCTTTAAAACCAGCCATAACCCCAAACCTATTTCCCTTTCCCCAGCCCTACCTCTGTGTGCCCCATTCCTCCTCCCTCCATATCAGGGGCTCTGTGTGCCCCTATTCCCCCTTCCCACGTGCCAGGGGTCTATGTGCCCCCCATTCTCCCTGCTCAGCCCCTAGATGATCATGCTACCCTCCTTCCCAGAGTGGTTGGCTCATTGGCTTCTGATGCTAGTCAACAGATCTAAATGGAAATTGGGGTTTTCTGTTTTTCCAATTTCCCTCTGAATCATTGGGGTTCTTCCCACAGATGCCTAACGCGTCCCCTGTAATTTGGAAATTGATCAGAGGTGGTCTTAAAAAGTTATCATGATACAGACAGACAAAGAGAAATGCCATTGAGTTGTGTGTTAGGCCTTTTACTTCGCTCGGCCAATCTATAACATCTCTAATTGGTTATTATATATTCATTAATAGCTGCCAGTTATTGGTTATTTGACAGTCACTATTGGCTGTCAGGTGTTCATTATTTAGTACCGACCATTAGCTGTCAGTTGATTTGATAGTGACAATGGGGAAAATGGAAAATAAAAGTTTTGTTGACAAATGGAAAACTGAGAAAATCAGAATGTTTTCATGCAAATTTCCACTTTTAAAGAACAGTCTAACGTTGGCGTTTCTTGGGTTTCTCTCTGCATGTTTTTAGTTTTCACCCGTTTCTCAAGTTTCAGTCTTCGACTTTCAGTCTTCAGTTCTTATTTATCGTGTTTTGGTCCATGGTTGTCAGTTTTGTGACTTTAGTTATCACATTACATATATTGTGTACTGGGTTTTGTTCTTTAATTGTCAGATTTTAATCTTCTCATCGGTTTGGGGATGTTCCTTATCAGTTTTCTGCCTTTGTTTAGTCATCACAAAATTTCAAGGTTTGTTTACTGGGCTTCACTTATTAGTGTCTCTGTTCTGATTATTGGCTTTTAATCTTCTTCAAAAAACGTGTATTTAAACATTTTTTTCAATTCTGCTATTAATTTATTGCTTCTTTTCACTATTAGTTTTCTGCCTTAGATTAATCATTTTCTAACTTTGACCTTGATGACTGGTTTTCATACTTCAAATACTGGTTTTCTGTTTTGTCTATTTGTTGACTTCATTTACTACTTTACTGGCTTTGATTACTGGACTTCTGCATTCAGTTGTTGGTTTTCTGATACTGATTCCTGGTTTTCTGTCTTTGACTTTTGGTTTTTTTGACTTTGATATCTGGTTTTCTGACATCCATTCCTGGCTTTGACTCTTTGACGATTGGTTATCTCGGCTCCAAATACTTGTTTTTTAATGGTTTTTAGACGTTGATTTCAGATCTTATTATAATTGCTGGTTTTCTGACATTAATTATTAGTTTGCTAATTTTGCTAAGTGATTGATTTCTTTCACGGCTTTTCTGGTTTCAGTAACTGGTTTTCTAATTTCAATGATTAATTTTCTACTTTTGATTATTTCTTTTTTTACTTTGATTTTTGGCTTTCTGTGTCTTCGATGGCTGCTTTTCTAGAACCACCTATTGGTTTTTCTGAGTTCAATTGTTGCTTTTATATCTGTGATTACTGGTGTTGAGTTATTGTGTTTGAAACTATGTTTCTCTCCTCATTTTATCTGTTTTCTCTCTTCAGTGATCAGTTTTCACTTAATGTTGTTCAGGTTTTGGCTAGTTTCAATGGCGTTATTTTCACTTGTTTATTTTGAGCCACCAATCTAGGTTGGTCACCTTTAGTCACCTGTGGGGGGATGTTTTGCTCAAAACAGAAAACATTTCCTTTGTCTCTCTCTCTCTGCACCTCAGATCTTTGTTAAGGTTGCAAATGAGGTTGGCGAGACCTGCAATCTGCTCCCAATTCAGGTGAGTCCTCATTTCCCACCTGCCGAGATGTAGCGGTACAATGCTGGTTCCCCTCCCATCGCCCAATCTTATTCTTACCAGTCACTGCCTCTATTTCCAAAGCACCTCAGAAGCCCCGTCCTAGACCCAGACTGCAGCGTGCTAGGCGCTGGACAAACCCAGAGCAAACAGCCAGTCCCTGCCCCCATTTTTCTCCCTCCATGCCCATGTCATGCCCTGGGTCTCAGTGTCGGTGGCTGGGTTCGGTGGCAGCCTACAGCTCTGGTCTCCTCTCTGTGCCCCCAACCCCAGCGTGACCCTTCTCCTGTGCTCTCTGTTGCAGCGCCTGGACCTGTTGGTGCGAGATTGGCAGCTCACCGGATCCTATGGCGCAGACGGGGGGCAGGAGTTTCTCGAAGAAAAATCACGGGTAATGAGCAGAGCCGGGCGCCACGTGTGTTCATGGGAACAGCAAACTCCGGCTTTGGGGCAAAGTTGAACGTTTCCATGGTGGGTCTGATTTCTCGCTAATGGCAGCAAATGTCGCTTTGACTCCGGCAGCACCTGGAGGCCTCCGCTGAGCAGCCCCTGGTGTTGGGAGCCCTGAGGGCGAGCGGCACCCAGTGCTACCTTCTGCCCCACCCTGGCACTCGGTTCACCAGGAGCAGTTCAGGGATGCCAGGCGGTAAGAGACCCTCATCTTCTCCCCTCTTGCCCCCTGCACTGCTCCTCCAGCCCCACCCCCGCCTGCACTGCCCCCACTCCCATCCCTGCCCCCATTCCCACTCCTCCTCCACGGCCCCATCCCTGCCCCAATCCCCTCCTCCTGCATTGCCCCACCCCATCCCTGCCCCCATCCCCACCCTCTCTCCTCTGCTGCCCCTTTCTCCCCCTCCTGCACTGCCCCTACCCCAAAATCCCAGTGACCGGCTCACCCCCTTGCCTTAGCATTGACTGTGCTGCCCACTGCACAGAGGTGCTCACTGGGTCACAGCATCTGTGCAGGACGGGAGGGGACCTGAGGGGACACTGCTTTGCCCTGGGCTCCTGGGGGGAAGCTGCTGGTTCCCCCCTTTGAGGCCTTCAAGGCTCCCCCTGCATCACCCAGTGGAGACTGCTGACTCCCCCCGCCCACTGCAGCTTCTCTAGCGCCCCCCCCCACTGCTCCCCCGTTTTCCCCCAGGCAGT